GGTCAATATTATATATTTCCTCCGTTTTTGGCAATCGATCGTTTCTATCTTTCTCATTATTTGCATACTAGATTTTGACCCACGCTGGCATGGGATTAAATATTTAAATATATTTTCTAATCGATCTTAATATTTAGACGTGTATTCTAATATTTCTAAACGTACAAAATGAAATGTATTGTGCATAAATGTAATAAAATTAAATTTTTACTAAACATATTTCAATGTCATATGTTTTGATCAATTTTGTATAAGAATATTAAAACTAATGCAAATGTTATTTATTTCAATTTATTTGAAGTGTCAAATTGAGTTTTATTATTTGTGTAAAATTGTAGAGTATGTGATAAATCAAATAAATTTTAGATTTATATAAATTTGTCGGACGTAACAAACAAAAAATATATGTTTTCTAATAATAAAATGTAAAAATATTTATAAGTGTAGTTATCATCTACAAATAAATAATATTGTTAGAAAATAATAATAAAAAGCTTTTTAATATATCAGTTATTTTTTTTAAATAGATGATATAGTAAGTCTAAGTATTATATTTAGTTAAACTTAATTATATAAAATATATATTAATGAGTTTATGTTATAAAATTAATTAAAACATATAGAGATTTTCACCATGGCATATAGTTTTAATTAAAATATTTTCATTAATTAATTTAAATGACATATTCTTTAAAACCCTCATGGAATAATATATATGATTTTTTCAACAATTTTCTATTCAATTAATATATAGAGGATTGGAAAAATTGTAAAAATGTCATTTTTTATGTGCACATTTCCAAAAATACCACTTAGAGGTGTTTATTTGCAAAAATGCCATTAATATAGATTTTTAAACCCTATATCTCAAAATTCTAAACACTAAAAAAAGTTTTGACCCCTAAATCCCCCTAAACCTTCATAACTAAACTCTTATAGAACATAGTTAACCCAAACATAAATAATATAAAAAAATATATAATTTTGAAAAAGTGGCATTTTTGTAAAGATTTCAAAAGTGTGGCATTTTTGCAAAATGGTACTTGAAAAGTGGTATTTTTTGAAATTTATCTAGGATTAGTGGCATTTAAAAGAAAATTTCAAAATGATGATATTTTTGAAAAGTGGCATTTCTAAAAATTTCTCTACATTTTATTTAAATATCATGCAAATTGAATTTTGTAAGATAAAATAAATTTATCAATATATTTATCTATTAAAAAATCATAATTTTTTTTTGAATATTCTAACGCATGTCAAAAAAAATCTAAAAGTCATTTAAAAAAAAAAGGGAATCACAAAAATGCCACAAATGGATCAACAGTTTGCAAAACTGCCACACGCGCTGGGACCTTTACAAAAATGCCACGATTTTATTCGAGAAGGACAAATTTACCCCTGAAACAAAAGAACGCTCTGAATATTCTCTCTCCCAAAACCTAAACGCCATGCCACTTTTCATCTCCTTAGCAACGAAATCGAAGCTTTTAGACGTAATTGGAGAAGAAATCGAAGCTTTTAAGAGGTCATTCGAGAGGAAATCGAAGCTTATTAGAGGTAATTTTCATCTCTATTTCTCGATTTCTCAATCTAGATCTAGATCTAGTTTTTGATTCGCGATTTCGCAATTTCGTCGATTTGTGTAACAGATTTTACTAGTTTATTTGATTTTGTCAATGATTTTTCGATTCGCGACTATCCGATATTGTCGATATGAGTTTCAAACTCGTCGACGCACTTGGTTTGAATATGTCAATCTTTGTAGTTTTTCCTTA